GATGAAGTCCTGCGAAGAAGGGAGGCTAGTAGACCGGGAGACGGAGGAAAGCTAGCCAAAAACTGGGAAGGGCCCTACCGGGTGAGAGCTATCATTCGCCCGGGAACCTACCGGTTAGAAACTCTTGAAGGTGTACCGGTAGAAAGAACCTGGAATTCCCATCATCTTCGCAAGTTCTACAAGTGATTGTAATACTAGGCAAGGCCTACTTTATTATCAATCAAACCGATGACATTCAATACTCTACATGGTAGCAGCAGAATTGATAGGTCGAACCTATCCTAGGAGGGCTTCCCGGGTGGATCAGATCCACTCGGATAAGCCAACTGAGACACAGGCCCGGACCTGGCACGCTGGTTACTACACCGGTCTTGCTCAGTATAATAGAAAAAATATAAAACCCGGAAGAGGAGCCCGGAAGAGGGTATGCCTGCAAGAGGGCTGGACCTGGAAAAAGGTTCGAACCGTACTTACACGGGCCCATGAGGTTTGACCGGTGTTGGGGAATCAGCCAACGCCGTCAAACTGATTGGGGACTAAAAGATGCCCATTAAAAGAAATAGAAGGGGATCGTCCACCGTGGCGCATCCTGTTTCTCCCTTCTCAGGGAAGACTTGAACGGGGGGGGGGGTGAGCTAAGGCCTTCCCGGGATGGTAGAAATCAAAGGGCCATTAAAAGACTTAATCACCCGGAAGAGGGGGCCCTGGAAGAAGGGTGCATTTGAACCTTGGAGAAGGTTCGAAACCATTCGAACATGGTTAATTATCCAGTATTCTTACCGGTTAAGGATAGTTCAAGAAATTATTAGGTTACAGGTGTTCCACCTACAACCTACCGGTCGCAAAAAAAAAAAGGAATACCCCGGTTGGGTATTGATACAGCGGAACTTCGGAAGTTCCCCAAGGCAAAGCAGTTGACCGGTCGCATCATGAGGTGGGAACGCACCGGTCATACTCTACTTCATCGAACGAAGGTATCCAAAAGCCAAAGGTAAGTTCAGCCGGTCAAACTTTTTAAGTTGAAGTTCAACCGGGCTGGACTTAGCATATTCAAAAACAAGCCAAGAAAGCGAAAATGAAGTCCGGCCGGTCAAACATTTTTTCAAATTGACCATCAAGTTGGAGTTCAATCGGTCAAAGTTACTCGAGCTGATCCTTCAGATAAAGTGTTCAAAGAAAACTTTGAAGTTCCACCGGTCGAAAACGATTGAGAGACGGCCCAATTTATGTACCGGTCAAATATTCTACGATGGCGTTATAAGGAACAAAAGTAGCATATCAATCAAGGATCAAGCACATATGGAAGATTAACCGGTGAGCAAATAGAACTTGGCATTCAAAAAAAATAGGAGATGTCAAATGCTTACAAATTCACCGGGCATACCCGGGAGAATTTCAAGTTTACAAAATGACTTAACCGGTCACAGCCGGGGAGATTCCTCACTCTAAGGGGAAAGGGGGAGCAGGTTCATTGTCCGGGATGGGGGCCAGGCCGTATGATTCAGCATTAAAGTCCGGGTCACGTTCAGCAAGGACCGCATGCGTGGCCTCCCGGTCCCATTTCTGGCCGGACATAAAACCGTAGGAGCCGATTTGGGTGATCATTTCTTTTCCCTGCTCCTCCCGGTACAGCAGCTTGAAGCCTTCCACCGTCCTTTCCTCAGAAAAAGTGAGTACCCGGGCAGCTTCCACTAGGTTGTCCTCCATCCACTGCCTGGCCCTACCGGGGAACTCCCGCTCCTTCAGCTCAAGATCCTCCATCAGCTTTAAGTTCTCCTCCTTCAGCTGAAGGGTCTCTGCCTTGGCCCCCTCGGCAATTGCAGAAAGATCAGCCATCTAATTCGACTGCCGGGCAGTCAGCTCCTTGAGGTCCCGGTTATGAGCCTCACATCTCTTCAGCTTCTCCTCTAGTTGGGCTAACCGGGAAGATGAATCTTCAGTGAGTTGCTCCAAGACGTCCGGCCTAACTTCACCCAACTGCATATTGAAAAGAACACCAGTTAGTGTGAAGATTAAGTGGCAAGAGGAGGTACCGGTTAGTACGAAGATTACCCCTTTCAGCTTGAGGGCCAGTTTGACCCAAAGCTCCTCCAGCGACTCCTCAGCCGGGGTACTTTCCCCCCTTCTCTTCTTGGCCGACGGATGGTTGGTGGCCGCATGTTTCACCCTCTTTTTCCCCTTTTCTTTGTTGAGGGGGGGATTCGCCGGTTCCTTCCCGGTTTGAGAAACTCCCCCGGTCTCATGGGTTTCCTCTTCAGAATGAACCTCTATAGTTTCCTTCTGGACCGGTTATGCTGCTGAGGTATGTGGACCGGCCGCTGAAGAAGATCCACCGGTAGTCTTCGGCATGTTGTAGGCCCTGAAATTCATGTCTACAAGAAGCAGGCAAAACTAGTGAGTATTCGAACTCTAACCGGTGAGAATGAACGACAAAGAAGGAGAGATACCTGGGTGGCTTGGGCCCCCGGCCTCAGCAGTATTGCCCGGGGAGGGTACCCCGTGCCCCGCTGCCTCATGGGCCCGAGGGGTACCCTTACCACCCGGTTGGATCCTCCAGATCCAGGCCCCATAGTGGAACATCTGCCCGGTGAAGGGGTCCCCCTGTAGAAGTTTCTCCAAACTTTCCTCCAAGTCTGGAGCGCTAGTCGGCTCAGCGTATTGAGACTTGAGGATGTGATTGTTCCACTTTATACCGGCCAAGGGAGAATCGTTGGGGAATTTTATAAAGACAAATCTCTCCTTCCACTGCCGGTTGCTTTGGGGAAGGTCTGAGATAAATTGACGGTCGTTGCGGCCTCTGAAGTAGACATAACCGTCACAACCCGATTTACCGGGGAGGACTTCAAACAAGAAAAGAAACAGACGAAGGGAAGGATCGATTTTGAGCTCAACGCAGATATTTACAAAAGCATTGAGGAACCGGTGGGCGTTGGGCGTAATTTGCCCGGGAAGGATTTTGAAACAGCGGCACAACTCGATCAAAAGGGGACGAATGGGGAAGACAGTACCGCTCTCTAGAGAAACTATATGGAAACCTAACCTATCATCCCGGTGGGGTTCAATAATATTAGGCCAGGTGGGGTCGTATTCAAGAAGGCAGGGAGATTCCTACGGGCTTTGTTCTGAGCAATCTTGAAAACCCGGGGGACTATGTCAGCGGGGTAGCTGGTAGGAAGGGGAGAATAACCGGCTGCATCTAGCCGGTCCACCCATTCCTCATACATTTCATCGTCAGGGTCATAGGGAGCCGGCTCGTCTTCGACCGGTGCATCCCTCTCCTGAAATACTTGACCGGGCATCCGATTTACCGGCCGCGGTTCAGGGATGCTAGAGCTTGGAATCGACCGGGTCTGAGGGATGGGAGAAGACGACACGGTCGAAGAAGAAGAAGACAGGGATTCCTCAGATGCATGGGCATCTGAGGCGGAGATGTCCTGACTATCGGAGGAAGACATTTACCGGGAGGGAAAATGAAGAAAGAAAGCTAATAAAAGAAAGGAAGAAAGCTTACTTAACTCGGAGGGCTAGGAAGCTAGAGCGGAGAGGTTGACCGGTGGAACTCAGGAAGGTCGCGCGAGAAGAAGTGAGAAAGGCAATGGGGTTGAAGCCTTTATATAGGCGAGGGGAAAGGAGAAGGAGGCGACGTGGCCTCACCAGGGCGCGCCGCGTCAAGCGGCGCCATCATTGCGCCTGGGAAGACGAAAGGGCGCAGGTCTGACGCCGTCCAGCAGGCCGCACGTGTCATAACTGACACTTAAATTTCGAATTCAAAAATTTTGAGCGGGAAAGGCCAAAATTTGAATTTAAAAGCTCTATTTCAGATTTTTTATACTTCCTGCTTATGACAAAATTGCATAACCGAGAAGTAGAGGGCTTATTGATGAGTGTATTTCACCCAAGACCGGTCAAAGGTTAGGACCGGATAGTTGACCGGTCAAAGAGGTCAAACTCAGGAGAGAGATCTGAATCGTTGGCAGATGGACGACTGGTTGACCAAGAAGTTGACCGGTACACTTCGGATAGTATACCGGTCGGTTTACTCCATCGTCAGGAACCAATTCCGAAGTCGATTATTCCAACCTTCAGTAATCAACCGGTGCAGCTTTTAGAGATTGAGGATTGTCGGCAGGAGGAATCCAAAAAGGACTTGGACTGTAGTGGTTGGAATTGCAGAGATGCCGAAGGAACATTTCCAAGCCAGAACACGACAAGGGCGCAACCCCCCCCCCCCCCTCGCAAGATGACAAGGCAGCTCAGAGCCAGTCACCTCACACCACGCCAGCAGCATGCCCCCACGTGGGCGCACGTGGTCCTGCCCCCCTAGCCTAGTATATATACCTCTTGTAACCCTCGAAGAAGGGGATCCGAATTCACTCTCTCTAAACTCCCTTGTAAAAGTGTCCGTGCATTCCCTGTTTAAATACAATTCGGGTTACAGGTGTTCCACCTAAAGTCCTACCGGTCATTTTGGGTGTTTCTACCTTCTTTACTTTACTGAATCAAGCCAACTGTTCTAGACCCGGTCTAGTATAGTTTGACCGGTCAAGTAATTTACACCATCAATTGGTACTAAAAATGAAGAACAAAGTAGAATAATTACATTACGAAGTTGCTATAAATAGAAGTAAAACATATAGAAAGTACCAAAATATGAGTTACGTTCCATGTTTTTTTTCTAAATAGAAATTTACACTGTGGTAATGTGACATTGTACATGTGCAATTTATTATAGTTTTTGGTAATGTACATGATCATCAGCCGCGGAGGCAATGGGGGCTGCCTGGGCATGTGCCCCGGCGAGATTCTGGTTATTACCCCATGGAACGACAAAGTTGTTTATGACCAGCGAAGTGCCCCTCCAGCGACAGTGGCTTCACCTGCGTAGGGGCTCGACATCTATTAACTGAATCTTTTTTTCATTTAGATCTGTTTCTTTTTCTTTAACAAAATGAACTGTTTTGTCTAAATTAATCTTTTTAAATAAGGATAACACAAATGTCGCCTTACATGGAGGTATTAAAAAAAATTTATTCCCAATAAGTAATTATAATCTACTCCCTCCGTCCCTAAATAAACTTCCTCTTTCGTTTTTTCTTTGTCTCTAAATAAACTTCTCTTTTCTCTTAAAAAACCTCTTTTACCCATTACTTTTTCATACCCTACCTATCACATCATACCTTTTTACTAATAATCTACATATCATATCTTACTTTTACACATTACATCAATGGTATTTTGGAAAGTCAATACCAAAATATTCCTCCCTTAAATCCTCAAAAAGTCAAAAACAGAAGTTTATTTAAGGACGGAGGGGTAGTTTTTTTGTTGAACTCAACATCTAAGTATTTTTGTTGTTTTAAAGTGTTGAACTTTTTTATGTGATGGGATAGTAGTATATTTGAGATAAATTTACTTAGTATAATTTCTTTATATCATACTACATCCGTTTCAATTTTAGTTACAATTTTATTTTCCCTCCCCTCTTTTGTATGGTTTCACTAATTATTTGATAAAATAAAATACTCTTGTCACATCTTATTTTATAGAACTTTTGACGTAGTATTTTAATATGTAATTTTTTTATTGATTTATCAATTTGTAAAATAAAATGATTTTAAAGTCGTAAGATTTTACCTTGTAATTTCCAATTTGTAATCAAGATTGGGACGAAGGAGTATTATTTTTATTTTTGAAAAAAAATCTAAGTAAGCTTCCACCGACTCTCATAGTTCACCATTGTGCCCTCCCGAAAGCTAGCCTCTGGCTCCGCCACTGATGATCATGATATGTAATGTAAACTAATTTTAACTCCTATTTCGAAAATAAAAACATGTAACTCCTATATTGATATATTTTCAATGTTTTACTCATACTTTAGTCTTTTTCCCAATTACATTCTGGTCTTGCCGGTCCGACCTGGAAACTACGCGGTCTTAGTCCGGATTCTACCGGAATTTTACAGGTCTTAAATCTTTAGATCGGAGAAAACCGATCCGGAATTTTACCTGTCTAGCCCTGAACCAGTCTTTCCAGTTTGATTTTTTTGTTCGACCCGAATTTTGTACATCCTTATTTTTACCTTGATATGCGAAAAAATAGACTAAAATCCATCATTGGTCCTTCAATTTTATGAGTTGTGCATGATTGGTCCTTGATGTTTCAAAAGTCATGGAAAAGTTCTTCAAGTACACGTCAGCCTTCCATATAAGATTTTTTTGACAATAAATATTAAAAGTTAAATAAAATACTAGTTCGATATAATACGAGTAAATAGAAAGGAAAAAGTAAAAAACTACTCCGTAAAAGAAGAGTATAGAATTGGGGGCAAAGAACGAAATGCGGTGGAGCCCACAAGAGAGCTGAGAATGGATACTACACATGTGTACACCACCACCTTGCATCTCTGGTTAGGTCTCTGTGTCTGTGCGTATATATATAGCTTTACCATCTGCTACACTTCTCACCAATTCTCCATCATAAAAACCTCTTTAATTAGTACTGATTATTTTTCTCTGCGTTTAATTTCAATTCCTTAAGGAGATATAGTAATACTCGGTAGTAGTAGTAGTAGTTAAAATGGGTCTTCTGTCGAGCATCCTCAAGTGCGCAATAGTGATCTTTATCTTTGCTCTTCTAGCTCAAAATCTGCAGGTTATTTTTTTTTTTGAAGTCATCTGCAGGTTATTTAATTTCCCACATTCTCAACGTAGATCTGATTAATTACCACCCCATAATTAATTGCATCTACTACATATACTACTTTGGAAATTATATTTACTTAGATCTGTTAAATCTATCTCATATCGGCAAATATGAACAGATGAATTTGCGAAAACATTATAAAAACGTACACTATCTATATCAGAGAAATATAATAATGCGATCTGATGATGAGTCCTGGCTGGATCTTACTAATCTTAACTAATTACAGGCTTCAGTGTCTGCACATTCATCTACTCTGCAACCACTCGGCGATGACAGCATGGTAATCTTTATTATTTTTTTTTCGTTTTTGACTGTTTTAAATTATTGTTTTATGCATATTTCAGTCATTTACCCATTTTAGTTGAAAGAAATTAACAATAATTACTTTCCCCGAAGGTTGTAGTTGTAACATTCACTCGTAATTGTAAGACTTACCGTGGGTACAAAATGGTGTATCCTTTTTCTAATATTTTAAAATAAAGTTCATATTTTTGTTGCTTTTCTTTAGAGAAAAATATGTGATCTATAACAATTTTTATCACACTATCGTGAAATTTTCCGTCAATTTTAGTTTTTAAGCACTGTAATTTTGAAGCCGTACTTTTTAATTGGGCAATTAAATCCAGATGTCCAAATGTAGTAGTTGGAGTGTGATGAAAAAAGAGTTACTCCAACTACAACGGTCACATAATTTTGTTCTCTCCCCCTCCGTTGACTTTTCTAAAATTGTGTTACTCCGTATGTTTTTTTCTCAGATCTTTATTTTTTGAAGCTTGTGCGGAAAAATAAAATACGTTTTGAATCAATATTTGGATCGAAATATGTGAATTGAATTACTTATAATTTCAAGGGAAAAATATTAAACTAAACTAAAAAATTGACGAGAAAGCGAGAAACAAATTGTAAAGGTTTCAAAAAAAAATGAAAAGAAATTACTCTTTATTCAAATTTCAACCCAATGGATAACTTACCTCAATAGGGCTAAAATGTAATGACTTTCTCAATATAGGACCATATGTTTTTATTTTCTAATGTAGGACCATTGGTAATTATCTATTAGTCATTATTCAACTAAATGTCTAGCATCACTTGAACATTATTCTTTTCACTAGTCATTATTAAGTCCGATTTAGGAAATAAAAATGTTTAAGTCATACATCGGGAAATGATTTATGTTTTAGTCATATTCAGTGCAAATTTCACTTTCTACTAACATTGATTTATATCTCTCTTGCAGTATGGTATAAGCGAAGGCAAGCTGCACCCACAAGGTAGGAATCGAAGGACATTATTTATAGTTACAATGAATAAATTTGGATTTTATGCCCAAGTTTTTTCAAATAAATAAATTAAGAGGTGTGCTCGGTGTACCCGAAACATTATATCCCAACTTGCATGCCAGTGTATCATAGACACACTACACTGACAACCATTGTCTGAGACAATGGTTGTCTGTGATGGACTGGCGTGCAAGTTGGGGTACAAAATTTAGGTATCGCTAGGTTTTTCCATAAATTAATGAACTAATGGCCCGGGTGGGAAAATGCAGACTGTTCGCCGAGGTGCGTGTACAGGTGCTCGAAGACGGCGTACAAGAAGCCGTGTCTCTTCTTCTGCAACAAGTGTTGTAATAAGTGTCTGTGTGTGCCTGCGGGGACTTATGGCAACAAGCAAAGCTGCCCCTGTTACAATAACTGGAAGACCAAGAGAGGAGGCCCCAAATGCCCTTAGACTCCCTTTTTTCACCCTCTTTTTACTATTGTTATTTACCCACCTTCTCCTCCTCCCCATTTTTATCCACTTATTTATCCCCTCCTCTTCCCAACCATTTAACTGCATTGGTTTCCAGTATTAAATGCCTCTATATTTCTGGTTATTAAGCAGGGGAAGAAGTGGGGTTCAGTTCTTATGTCCTGTATTTTTCAAATTTGACTGCATTGGGCCTTTGGCCGATCCCTATTAATTGCACTTGGTATTCCTGTCTTTAATTTGTGGGACTCTCTTGAGATTGAGTAATAGGGACTACTTCCCTCTTGATAATTTTGTGGTGTAAAAAGAGAATATGAAAAGCAAGGAGAACATTGATACTATAAAAGAAACATCCATAAAAAGAAAGTGTCTAGAAATCGAGACATAAATTAACCAAATTCTTGTGGTATACACTTTCAAGTTCATATCCAATTACCCATCATCTAGTCTAAGAGCATCTCCAGCCCATAGTGCAAAAAATGGTAGTGTAAATCTCAATTTACACTATCAATCGTGTTTTACACTTCCACTTTTTTATATTCACTCCAACCACATCTTCTATATAATACATTTTTATAATATTTTATTACTTTAAAATCTTCAAATTAAATTAGAATATTTCATTATAAAAATATTTGATGACTAATTATGATCACATTTATGTATTTTGCGCTAAACATTAGACGAATATCACTAAATAAATACGACCAAGAAAGTATTGAGAGAGGAAGAAGAAGAAGAACAACAAAGCAGAAAAGATGTAGATATCAATAATTTTGGACTCCATTGGAGTGTAAATACGGTTGATGATGAAAAATCAGGAGAAGAGCAAGGAGAACTAGGGGTGAACGGAAGGGAAGAGCAGAGGGTGAACAAAAGGGAAGAGAAGTAAAAATTAATTTTTTAATTGTTTACACAATCTACAGTGATAGTGTATATATAGACTATGCCTCAAGCTTTTTACACTAACATTTTGATGGTTTACATTGACATTAAATGTTGGTGCGTTACCGAAAATTTACACTGACACAAAGAGTTAAGGCGTTAACAAAAATTAGCATTACATCAACACAAAATGTTAGTGCATCCCTGCGGTGTACAAAATAGGGTACAAATTCTTGAGGTACAAATAGCATTATCCAATTCTAAATGACGGAAATTAACCAAATTATTTTAATCCCACAAAAGTTTTAGTATTATCCAAGTCTCACTGAAATTACTTTTAAGATGATTAATTTTATAGTGTAGAAATGAAAATAAAATTTAAAATTTGAAAACTACATTAAAAATTTACAAGAAAAGTGATAAAGATAATATATTTTTTCAAATGATTAACAAAACTAAAAAAATTAATCTTATTCAGTTTGAATTGTGAACAATTGAGTGACATTCTTTTGACAGATAGTAACTACAATAAAAAAAAGTAAAAGGGGTAAAATAACACTTATTTGGATTTCATTGTGTGAATAATTAATTAGAGAGCATGAACCTATTCTTTAGAACTTAAATCTTTAACTTCCACGTTCTTCTACTTTTTTTCTAACTATTTATTTTTCTTCAAACTCTTTCTACTCCCAAACAATACTCTAAAAATGATATATTTTTAATATGATTATTATTATATTGTTATTATTATTGTTATTAATAGTAGAATCATTAGTATTATCTTTATTTTTATCATTATTACAACTATTATGTTTATAACTATAATTTATAAATTATTTTGTTTTTTAAAGTTTTTTCATATCACTATTTTTAATATTCACACTCATTATTATTTTATCTTCAAATTTTTAATATAAACAATAAATTTTTTTATTAATCTACATGATAAAATAACAAAACATCATATTCTAAACTATATTCAAAAATTAGGATTTCTATGTTTTTATTTTCAAAATAGGACTTACAATGCAAATACAATGTTAATCATGATCTAATAAATACAGCATAAATAAATTCAGATGCAACGTAATGGTAATAAATAGATTTTCCCTTTAGCATTCAGATTCTCTAATGCCAAAAATGTTGTAAATTACCTTTGGTTTCTATCAAAAGTTATGGAAGCCTTAGATCATCGTCTTGTTCAGTACGTTATATTCGATATGTATGATGGTATAGAAAAGCACGGTGGAGTCTTTCTTCCCCAGTGTAAGTCATGGTCATTGCATTTATCATATTTTTGGTAACATAAAACATCATTTCTGTGGCTCTGAAAAATCCTTGTATTAGAAGTTTTATGGTCCTGCAAGTGCTGCATCTAAAGAGGAGTGCAACCATTTTTTACACTTTTAGATCAAGATGACACTCGTATTATAGGTTACCTTGATGCAATTGGATTTGAGAAATAGGCTAGGTCATTTTCAAATAATCATTATTCTATAATGACCTCAAATCTTACGGAATCCATGAACATGTTGACGCTGTTCCACGTGAATATCACATTCCCAAGGTAGTTGATTTTCTATTAGGATGGATGAAAAGGTGGTTCCATGATCGTTGGAAGTTGGCTATTCCACGTCATCCATTTTAACAAAGAACTATGAGTCAAAGCTCATTGCCCTTCATGCTTCCTCAGTCATTATGGATGTACGTTTATGGTCAAATTTTGTGTACTTTAACCTCGATATATAGAAAAAAAACATCGTGTTTCGTTAGAAATGTATTACCAATAATTTCTTTTTGAAACTAAGGAATCTCTTCATGTTTGATAGTTTTTATTTTGAGAATAAAAAATATGGAACTTTTATTTTAGTACTTTCTCTATGTTTTACTTCTATTTTAGTATTTTTTCCAAAAAAATTATAACGTCACTTCATATATAAGACATATATCCCGTATACAAATTAAATTGGATCTACCCATATTTTGATTAAAATTGCCACATTATTCAAGTCATTAATAGGTAGCAGATGATTTTTTTTAAATGTTGCCATGTCGTCATTTGTCACAATTCTATAAGTTTAACTCTCAAATTTATAATATAAAGATAAAGATTTTGAGAATAAAGAATATGGAACTTCTATTTTAGTGTTTTACTTCTATTTTGGTATTTTTTCAAAAAATATAACGTCACTTCATTTATAAGACATATACCTCGTATACAAATTAAATTAGATCTACCTATATTTTAATTACAATTGACACATCATTCAAGTCATTAATAGGTGGCGGATGATTTTTTAAAATGTTGCCATGTAGAAAAATATACCCTGCCACTTGTCACAATTCTATGAGTATAACTCTAACCCTAAATAGGACTAAAACAAAGAGAGAGAAGTATCAAAATAGGACTTTCATATTTTTTTTTCCGAAATAGAACTTCACAATGTGATAATGTGGTTATAATGTGGCACTGCACATGTGCACATTACTATATTTTTTGTAATGTACATGGTCATGTTTGATAATATAAATGTATTTTAAGTCCTATTTTAACAATAAAAATATGAAAATCTTATTTTAATATATTTTCAATGTTTTATTCCTAATTTAATCTTTCTCCCAATCTATAATATAAAGATAATATATGACATGGCAAGAGATACATAAACAAAACCTTACATGTCCAAAAAAGGATAAAGTTATTTGTACCCTAAACTTTTGTACCTTATTTTGTACACCGCAGGTTTGCACCGACATTTTGTGTTGGTGTAAAACTAATTTTTGTTAACGCATCAACTCTTTGTGTCCGTGTAAATTTTTGTTAACGCACCAACACTTGTGTCGATGTAAACCATCAAAATATTTGTGTATAACTGCGGTGTACAAATAGGGTACAATTTTTAGTGTAAGTGTAGGCCCCCAAAAATGGAGCTTTTCTAGCGCATGGAGCCGAGAAAATAGAGTTTTCCTTCTACTCTCCATTTCTTTCCTTCTAGCCGATGAAATCGTAAAAAAATGGAGCTTTCATTCTACTCTCCTGTATCTTTCGTTCTCCAACAACAAAAAAATTTAGCTTCATTGATTCTTTGGAGAAATCTTCATTATTATAGAAGGAAGTAAGGCAAATTTTAAGTTTGTGAGCCAAATATGGGAAGCTTGAATACAAGGTAATTTCATGATATTCTCATGTCTTTCTAAAATTCAGATAGTGTTTCCTTCATTCAAGTCGTTGAACGGCTTAATTGGTAAGCTTTAATTGATTTGATTTTTCCGAATTCTTAGGGTTTATATTTGGTGTTTCTTGCTCAACCGAAAAACCCCACTAGCAAATATGGAAGCTATTCGTTAAATTGATTTGTTTTTATGCCGAAATTCATGCTAACCCCTCCCAAATTTGCATTTTCTCCAAATTTTAATGAAATTTTCCCCCTAAATTCACATGCAATTTCATGTTAGAAATTGGTTTGTTTTTTATTCCTAAATTCATATGCAATTTTAGAAAAAATCATTTGAAATTACGTTTTTTCCTAAATTCATATGATTCTTTTTTACCTAAATTAGGATTGAAATTGTTTTTTTCCAAAATTTGTATGCACTTTTTTTTACCTAAATTAGTGTGCAATTCTAGAATCTACACTCCTTTGGGGTTGGGACAATGTCTAGAGTGGAGGATGCTGAAGTTGTTCAACAACTGGATGTATATTTGAGCTTCCTTCACTTATAATAATAATCATTTTAGTGTACATAACACTAAATGATGGCAATTTTCTTTATGAGCATTTTGTTGAAAACGAGCATTGGTTTCTAATTTAAGTTTTTATGAGTAATTTACTCAGTATAAAAAGGTCTTAGACATATTTGTCTCTTGAACTAGAGGAATGCTTTCTAGTTTACGTTGGGTTATTTGAAGAAGGTAAGGTTGTTACGGTGAGATTGGACTTTTGAGCAATTGGTGGTGCCATGGATCAGAGGTTAATAGGAGCAATTTGTGGTGCCATTTTCACACTGTCACTATGAACACTCTCACTGAAAATTGGCATTGTTTTTTAGTTAGAACAGGAGAAAGAAGACTAGAGATTGATGTCATGGTTCTTGTTGATAGAGGTGTTGTTTGTATTGACGAGTTTGATGAGATGAATGAATGACCAAGGTTGCCTGTCTATACATGAGGTTATGAAGCAGCAGACTTTAAGAACTGCTTAAGCTGTAATGCATGCATCATTGAATGCTCGGTGCAGCAAACTTTATTTGGGAAGCTTTACTTCATGTCATAGGTACAATATTGAACTCTCTATGTTTGGAATATATTTATAAACTGTATCCCTATGCTATTTCATAAAAAAACATTCCTCTTCCTTAAATGGCAATAAAATGAATTTCTCTCAGTTCTGAATATGAGTATATAAGTTTCATAAAAAATTCACTATAGTAGGAGATTAAGCATCATGCACTATACTAATTTAATCACCTACTTGTCTAGGTATGAGAAAGAACTTGCATCTTCTAATGTTTCTTTTTAGCATGTGAGCATCAAATTGTTTTATACATTAATGAATTGTCATATTCTAAAGGCCAACACTAATCGTTGTAAGTATACGCTGCCCTTCCTGTGGGGTTAGAAAGAAGGTCCTCACATTTTGAGCCTCATATATATTTGTGGATGATTTTTTGGGTTTGTATTAAATGTCTTCCTTAATGTATTTGTATTTTCAGCTTCTGTTATGCATATTTCAAGCCTTTCCAGAGCAGGGCCTCAAGAAAACTTGCAGTGCAAATGCTAATTAGACGAGGCAACCAAGCATTACGTTGCACAGGAGCAGCTTTGAGTTTATGCTCAGGCTTGCCAAGTTTTTGGTAGTCAGGTGATGGTTCTTGAATTATATCCTCAGTTGGAGTGTCATGCACAAAAGAGACTGTAATGATTAGTCTTTGCATCCATATTTTGATCTTCAATCTCCTATACCATGTTGATACTTGCCGGCAGATGCTTCTTTTTAGAGTTAAATTCTCATGCTCCGTGGCCCATTTTACATTTCATGGAAGAAATAACATTTATTCGGTCATATAAATGAATAGGATTATCATTATTTTCTCGAAACTATTGTTTTATATTACATGTGATGAAATAGTCGTTCAAATATACTTTTTAAAAATGTTGTTTCATAATAAAAACTCGTGTTAGACATATATTTTTTTAATCCAGAAAAAATATTACTCCTTCCGTCCTAAAATTAACTTCCCATTTTGACTTTTCACGGTCTCCAATGCGACACTTTGACCATCAATATCTTAGTTTTTATATAGATATATTTTATAAAAATTATATATTTCAAAACTATATTCCAAAATGAATCTATTCCTAATAAATTTATATGAAAATTCAATGTATTTTTTCCTTAATCTACAATCAAAGTTTAAAAAATTTGACTGCAAAACTCAAACTGGGAAATTAATTTTAGGACGGAGGGAGTACATTGAAAAACATCTTTTGAATCGACAAAAATTTCATTCGAACCGAGCTTGGCATGGGTCAAAATACTAGTGTAGATATATTTATGAGTTATACAATATAGCTTTAAAAAAAGGAAGGGAGAGAAGTAAAATGACTAATACTTACTCCGTATAAACTTGGTTGACGGACCAATGTGTCGAGAAGTCACAATGACTACAAAAGAAAGACATAAACCACTGTGATGGTTGGTGAATTAGCGGTGTTGGTTTGGTCCGATGAACCAAGTCTTGAACTACAGTAGTACATGTTCTCAGGCTATTAAATTTAATCAATTCAGCTAGGAATTGAAGGAAGAATGACAATTCATTTCCTGCAACTCCAAGCAGATACAGAGAAGAGGGCTCTATCATGCCAACATATCACCAAACACCCATTCTCTTCCCTCACATTAAACCCTTCCTCCCCACACCTGAAACTCCCCAAGAACCTCTTCGCCTGCAGCATCGAGTAGTAACTCAGCCCCACGTTCCGGAACCCCGCCGAGCCCAGCCTCCAAAACCACTTCTCGAGCCTCTCGTGCCTCTCCTTCCTCTCTGCCCCCTCGCACGCCACGATGTTCTTTATCTCCTCCCCTAACACTGCCTTCTCCACCCTCTGTCTCTCCGGCGATGCCCTCGCCAGCGTCGACTCCAGGCAGTCGAACCACGCCGCGTAGTAGTACAACGACTCCGACATCCGCTCCGTCAGCGTTTGGCCGTTGTGGTTGCTCTCTTGCTCCGTGACCGTTACGATCTTCGGGGATAGGCCCCACAGAGAGCTGAGGAACCCCTTCACCTTGCTGCTACTTGAGGCAGAGTCCTTTTCCACGTCGAGAAACCCGGCCTGGGATTTCGTTGTGAATTCATCGTTGTGTACGAGGAGAGAGTGCAGCTGCAGGGTGGAGGTGATGGCGAGAGCCTCCCCGGTTCTGACACGGAGTTTCTGGAAGTCCAAGTCTTCTAGCTTGGTGAGTATGGGAGTGAACTGGAATGGGATGTCGAGCATCTCCGCTTCGGCGGTGAGCACGCGGGCCATGTGGTCCAGCACTTGCTGGTGGTGGTGGACGCCGGTTATGCGCAGGTGGGGTGGCCCTTCGGGGCGTCCACTCAAGTCGTGGAGCAGCTGCCGCCACTGGGTTGGCTCCTCCGCGTTCAGGTCTATGATGTGAACCAGCTTCTCCCCTTCCATGGCTTCCATTATTGCTTGGTTTGTCACCATGAAAGCCACCTGCAAGCAACCACGATATTAGAACTCCCTTCATTTCTAGATTCAGCACTACGGTATCAAATTGAAAGCCAACAAATTATAGCCCAAGGAATTAATTAGAACACCAAAATTAGTGCTCCAAGTACGGTTAGTACAAACTTATATAGAGGGAACAACTAACAAATCAGAGTATAAAAGCATAGTCAAACCTAGAACTTACAATAATAAATAAATAAATCTAGTGCAAAATTAAAGCTTCGAGCAATTTCAATGGTAAATAAACCTATAGATTTGGTTTACCTTGAAGAAGGGGAGAATCTCGAAAAGAGTTTTCTTGGCCGTCATCTGATCGGAAAGGGGGGGCAATCGGGTGGAGCGGAGGGCCTTGTAGAGACCGGGCCACGACCGGAGAATCCGGTCGGCGAGGGCTTCGGCGAAGTAGGCGGCGATGCGCTGCATGGTGTCGCCGTCGGGAGAGGCCAGCTGAGAAATCTGGTCGAGCACTAGGTTGGCGTTCTCGAGGCCGCCGGCGGCCACCTGGTTGGCGCACGCCAGGAGGAGGTGGATGAGGCAGAGTCCCCTCTCCTCCGGTTTCAGCTCTTTCAGCCAGGGCAGTCCGAAGCCGCCCGGGGATACCGATGTCGCCGGGAGACCTTGCTGCGGCGACGCCGACGTCACCGATGACGATCCATCGTCCTGCACAAACATTTTAATATTTGATATTGAAGATGGCGGAGGAAAAGGTGGGGATTTGATTTCTGGAGAGGAATCGGGAGAAGCTTAAGGGAGATTGAGTCGTTTGTCTCTTTATATATACTCAGACTTCATTTTTTTTTTTGAATTTTAAGTTAGGAGTTGTGTGAGTTTTCACGTTTGAAGGGAGAGTTAGTCTAAACTTTGTTTAGTGGGATTGGATGGGTACGTAGTGGACAAAACGTGAGAGAGCAGTTGTTGTCGTTACTCGGATTGTCATTTTGTGTTTTAAAGAGGAACATGGAGTTTGGAGTTATGCTAGAAAAACGAGCCAGCCTGTCTTCTTTTGGCTCCTTCTGCTCGCTTGCTTCTTACCCAATTCCTTTTCTCCTTGTGTTGGGTTCACGATGGGGAGACTTTGAAAGTGGGTATAACTTGACCCATATAAATATTCGTTCGACCCATTTTTTTTATCTAAAATTCTCCTCGAAAATATAACATTTGTACCAAAAGTTTTGTTGATCAAACCAGAAATTATCCGTTATAAATTAGTTAAAGCCGACTGAATTTTAACCCTATTTAATCGACTCGTCAAAGTAAGGATTTTTTTCTTTCGAAATAACATACTTTAAGCAGATTTTTGTATGCATTTAAGATTCATGATGTCTACGGTAGACCTTCATATATGCTAGATAAATTTTTCTTAAGCATTGTGATGGGATTTGGCCGAACATCTATATATGCCGATACAAAGAACTTATACGTAATAGAAGAAAAGATTGTAAGAAAATATAGCTCTTTGTATATTTGTATTCGCTTGATTCAACTTGACTTATAATGAATGGTTTATCTCCTATTTATAGTCTAATACTATAGTGCACATGGTATGTCGCTCGTGTGTTTTATTATACGAAAGATTGGCTAATCATGCTTCAACTGTGGCGCGAGAAATCCGTCATCTATCATTCCCAAATCCTCACGATCAAGGGAATTGCGATCCACTCATATCTTCTGTTCTAGCCCTATGAGTTGGGCTCCGCCCATGATCTTATTCAGTCCTTGGGTCTAGACGACACGCCCCTTATCAGCGTTGGGCTTAGAATAGCATGCTTGGGCCTTCTTGGCCCGCTCCGTCAGCTCGATATCCATCACAAACCCCCTAGTTTCTCTAGTGATGCGTTACTAAGAAACTAATGATGAGCCGCCTTTGATCCCCGTGTTGAATTGGAAACGACATCAATTCCACTATCTCGGGTTTCACGACGTAACGTCTATAAACATATGCCCTAAATCATTTCGGCCATCTCCTCCATCGTTCTCAAATTTCTTCCAACTCCCCAATGATTTTCAATTCCCATCTTCCATTCCTCTCAAACTCACTCATAATGTCTTCTAAGACTATTAGCCCTGAGCAATGGCAGTCGGATTCCTCCCCAAACAAAGGTTAACAGCTCTCCCTCATGCGTGATTTCCTCGGCGACCCATTCAAGGTTCATCATCCTGACACTGTGGGGGCGTAAGTCTTGCCTTCAATTTTGAACCATGCCGCTTCCTGGTGATGCACTACGATTCTGTCCTCAACGGCCTCATATTGCCACTCCATCCATTTATCCGGGAGATTGGCGATAGTTGGAAAGTTCCTCCCTGGCATTTCACGACCAAGCCCACAAGTACCTCGCTTCTTACACCCTACGCTGCCATGATAATAGTAGAATTCCTGCCAAGGACGACTTCCTCCTTCTATTGAGCATTGGGGGTACATTTCCCTACTTCAACGTCTACCCCAGCAAAGCTCTCCTTGTATTCAAGAATTTGGAGGGAAAGATAGAAAAGTAAGCGATGAAATTCTTCATCATAGAATTCTCCGAGAACATGCCCTTGGACCCCCCGTGGTACTCCACTCGAATCTGACCCGACCCCTTTTTTCAAATCTTCTTAGGTTGACAAGGCCTTCAAGGACATGATATGGGATAATTTGATTGATTATGAGAATCTGCATACGAGTAAGATGTTCAAACTAATTAGTTTCTTTTTTCCAGGTAACAACCCTGTTGTGCCCCGTCTCAAGGGAAAACATGTCTCAGCTGCTGGTGAAGAGGCGGGGGACTCCGAAATTCACTTTCAACAAGGGAGAAAGTGGACGAGCCCACCGGAGCTACCAAAGATGTGAGTGATGCTGTTGGGCTCCAAGCGTTCCAATTCTTGAGACTGCGAGGGTGTTAGAAACCCCTAGGGCCTCTGAACCTTTGGTTTAGTCTCCCTTGTTGGTTCCTATTTTCAAGGCTCGTCGTTTGCTCCTACAAAAATCATATAGAACCCAGAAGCGCAAGAATTTTGGCCCCGCCGCTCTCCTACTGTGGAAAAATGTTGGACATGAATTCAAAACCCTTTGTATATTTTTTAGTGTTGTTATTTTTCAGGTTTTGATAAATGACAAACACGATGACAAAGGCAATTTTTACTTTAAAACAAAGAAAGCAAAGAAATATATTAAGAAATAAAGGCATATAGTTAATGTAAGATCCCTGCGCAAACTATCAAGTCAAGTGAAGAATTCATTTGAAGACTTTTAATTCTTTTGAGTCTTAGGAGTCAAATGCAAGGATGACAAAATATACTCCACGCCATAAAAACATTTTTTGAGGGTCATATAAAAATTACTTCCTCCGTCTCATTATATTTGTCCACTTTCATTTTTGCACACTATCCAATACACTTCTTTAATCCATTTTATCTTGTAATTTGTATATTAAAAAATTATAAAAATTTTATATTAATAATCTATATGTTAAGACAAATCAAACAAGATCACGCATGACTATACTTAGGCTTACACATTGAGAGAATTTGATGAGTCAAAGTGCTTAGATGAATAGTTCCAAAAGTCAAAAGTGGATGAATATAGCAGAACGGAGGGAGTATTATTTTTTGAGTTAGTTGAAAAATAATTTTATCTATTACGAAAAATAGGCATTTTCTAAAGGAAACCATTAAGTGAAATTTGAATTCTTAATGGTGACCTAAAACTCGCACACATGCGAAAAGGTGAGTTTTTTCTGGTTACATTGAAAAATGAGATTATTTTTGAAAGAGTGCGAAAAGGTGGGACTATTTGAGATAACTTTCCCTTGTTTTAATTTGATATATTTTATATAGTTAATAATGTGGAATAAATTGTTCGTAAAAAATTTGTTTATCATTTGAAAAAAATCTACTCAATTTTTTCTAATAAGAATATTTTATTAATACAAATATGGTACTCCCTCCGTCCTGTTTTAAATTGCCCGTTTTGACTTTGTGACATATTTAATGAAGAGAAAAAATAAAGTTGATTTTCTTAAATTGCCATTACTTTTTAGGAGGGGTGACGATGAATGAGATGATAAGGTGGGGAAGAATGACTTATTTTAGAGGTAATTTAGGTATTTTTTACTCTTAAAAGTTTACGATAACAAGAAACATGCAGCTTATTTTGGGACGGAGAAAAAAGGAAAATAGACAATTTAAAATGGGACAGAGGGAGTACTAGACATAAAGAAAACCCCCTAAATAAGAGTAAAACATGTGTTATATCCTCAAAGTAGGAGTTCAAACTTAAACTTCTCTAAGTAGGAATAATTAACTATTTTTATTACTTAAATTATAGAAGTATTCACGGGCCATTTATTTTCTATTCGTCATTGGGTCACCATCGCCATATGTGATATAATCAATACAATGTGTAGTTTGGCCCTTTTTGTGCAGGAGCTAATTACTGCGTGTGCAATGATGGGGTGAGTGATCCCCAGCTACAAAAGAACATAGATTATGCTTGTGGGAACGGAGCAGATTTCAGGGCCATCAACCAAAACCACGTCAATTATAACCCTAACACCGTCAAAGCTCACTGCAACTATGCAGTGAATAGCTATTACCAAATCTTTAACTGGTAGTACTTCCTTGTACACCGTCAAAGCTCACTGCAACTATGCAGTGAATAGCTATTACCAAATCTTTGACTGGTAGTACTTCCTTGTATTCCCGAGGTAAAATATCAAGTTTTTTCAATTCATTTTGTTTACATATTGGTATAGAAATAAAAAATACGGAGTAAAATTTACATATCAAAAAAACTACAAGAAAAGTTCTTCGAAATAAGAGATGTCAAGAATATTTTATTTTATCAAATAACCAATGAAAAATTAAAAATAAACAAAAGTTCCCGCGACTGCTGAAAAAGCAAATGTTGCAAATATTTAGGAACGGAGGAGTAACATTTGGTTTGACATTATGTCATTGTGTAACATTTTGACATTATATATTAGCATATGAGGCATTATATATGGACATCTATGATATTATATATTGTCATATGTGACATTACATGGTGCCATGTTTGACATTATTATATTTTTCTTTGACACTGCATTGACTGTTAATATGGCACTGTGGCGACGATGGTGCAGATTGTGATGGTAGTGTTGTTGATAATGGTATAGCGCGGCGATGTCGTCGGTGGTGCAAAATTTCAAAAATAAATATTATCATGGGGATCCGAGGACTCTAATTAGTCTCATCTCGCTCTGCTCCGTCTCCTCACAGCCACCCCACCATGTTGTTTTTTCTTTCACTTTTTGTCTAATTTAAACATTAAAAAAAGGAACCCCTTTGATTATTTAATTAAGAAATATTTTAGGAACATATTGTGTGTTAGCATGCGGTATGCATATTCATTATTCACTCATTAATAAAAATTAGACATTTGGGCAATGAACAATAATATGGAAATCATATCAATCTAATACATAGTATATTTAGGCCCCGTTTGGCATCAGCGTCAGAGATTAGCGTTAGCGTTTCGAAAAAGCTATCTGACGGTAGCCTTTAGCTTTAGCGTTTTCAGAATTAATCTGCACCGTTAAAATTTTATCCAAAACGCTAACGCTAATCGAAAACACTGTTACCAAACAAAGCCATAATTACTCCATACATACATATTACACATATACATATACCACAGGAAATAACGTATACTGAAATATATATATATATATATATATATATATATATTGATTTGATTTGCAACACTAACCATGCATGATTTTAATTTGTTGGGATGAACAATTCTTGGCCTGAACACAATTTGTATAATAATGTTTTGACACCCAGATAGTTAATGAAATCTGAGTTCGTTGAACCAAAATTAAAATATACAAAGTATTTAAAATATAGTGTGCTATTTAGTAGACCCCAATCACTTAGATCTCATTACGTTGAACAAAAAATTACAGACGTGAAAATGATGTGCACTAAGGGCCATGAACTCATATTTTGGAGATCTTATCTCTCCTCCTGTTTTGGGAATTTTATCTTTCAACTCCTATTTTAGAGTTTAATTAATGTTTTACTCCTATGTTGGCCTTTAACCCAAAAAACCCTAGACATATGCCACCCATGGGCGGATCCACTCTACATCTAATGGGGGCACTTGCCCCCAATGAAATTTGGTTTTTATTTAATTAATACATTAAGATGTTCCTAAAAATTAATATTGCCCCCAATGAAAAAAATGTTCAAATATAAAAATGAATTATTTAAATTTTTTTTAAATGAAAAATTATTTAAACTAAAAATAAAAGAATTACAAAATGAAAATTAAACTATAATATTAACTAGAAGATAATTCGAAAATAAAAATTACAAGTGAAAGTAAAATTATAGAGAGTACTTTTGAGATTTTTCATTAATCATTTGAATGTTTTATTAAAAAAATATTTTTTAAAAAAAAAATTACTTTGATTTTAAAAAACGGGGGCGCTACCCTCGAACTTTCGTATTACTCTTGCCCCCAGTCGCTCCAAATACTGGATCCGCCACTGATGCCACCACGTCGTAGGGGGAGAGAGAAGAAGTAGAGTAATTGAGTTATGATATTTTAGGTCGTTTATGTGTTAAAAAATACTCCCTCCGTTCCCAATTCGATTATAGCATTTTTTCTCTCTCCCCTCGATAATTTTTGTTTGTTTACGCAATTTCATTAAGTATTTGATAAAATAAAATATTCTTGATGCATCTTGTTTTGTAAAGTTTTTGATGTAGTCTTTTAATATGTAATTTTTATCTCCTATCGATATCTCGATTTTTAAATAAAATGATTTTAAAAATTGAGATATGTATTTTCGTAAACTGTAGAATAAAATGTGAAGATTATTTTTAAATAGAGGAGGTAATTCCCTAAATAAGCAATTCCTATCCTATTTTCCCGCCCAATGTTTTTAGCAAAACAGCTGGCACCCTCTCCTAAGTACTCCGTATTTCTTTCCTTCCATAACAGCTGGCCACCCATCTCTCTAAGTTTTCATCCTCAAATTCTATCATCTTCTTCTTTGCATCTACGACCTTATCCTCATCAGCTCTCTCTCAGATCCACGCTTCTACTGCTCTTTCTCAGATTCACGCTTCGGCTGCGAAGATGTTGGAAATGAAAGCATCAAATTGTATTAACTAGCTCAAATTGTGTATTACATGGTTAAGTTCTATATATAGAAAATGAAAAACAAGTAACAACCAAAAATATCTTCCTAACAAACTAACAAACTGTGTAACTAATCAACTAGTCAAATGCTAAATGGTTGATTACACCAACACCCCCCCTCAAGTTGAAGGTGGGAACAACTTCAACTTGCAACTGAATCAAATCTGTGTTGACTTTAATGTGTATATGGATGAAAACCCATTGACCAAAACAGCAAGCTTCTGGTTTAGGATCTTTGCTTCTGCTCGATGTTTCTCACTTTCTTAAAACCTTGGAGACCACCATAATCTGAATTTTCCTCAAAGTTACCCCAAATGCCTCAAGCCCCATCACAATTTCAACCGTGTCAAGAGAATCAGCTCCGAGATCAATGAACTTGGATTCACCGGAGACAGAGACACTGTCTGCCAGTGCAAGCTGCTTCTTAACAATGGAACAAACTTTGTCCACAGTCTCAGGCTTGGCAGCACAAGAAACATCAGAGTGCCCATGAACTTGATCCCCTTCCTGGTAATAATACATCCCTGCTTTGGTTTTGTGATGAGACCACCAATGAGCAGTGTTGAAAACCAGAATATCAGCACCTCTGCATCTGGATGAACTAGTGATGAAATAGTGATGAACTAGTGATGAACTAGTGATGGCTGCAATGGTTCTCCAAAATGAACAGAAAAGCGAACCATACAAAGCCGATGATGAAGTTGAGATGACAAATCAATTGATGAATTCACACGAAACATCAAAGGATGAAATGAAATCAATTGACAAAAGCAATTGATGAAATCAACCGAAAATCGGATGATGATGAAAGTGAAACTCGACCAAAACGATACGAGTGAAACTCGATCAAAACGATACGAGTGAAACTCAATCAAACCGATTGAGTGAAATTGATCATGATGAAACTTCTGAATTTACAGAAGTGAAAGAATGACTGAAACTAAACATTCCAATCATGAGAATGAAAATGAAGATAAGAGAACTTCATGAAAAATCTGTAAAGATGCAGATTTAAAATTTTAAATGGTGCTAAACAGGAGCACACAACTGAGATCCAGGGGATGACTGAAAATCTGAAAAGGATGAATGCAGATTTGCAACAAACTCCAACTATTAAAGCAGAAATTGAAAATCTTAGACAGGAATTGCAGCGATCAGGGGCTGCCATTGAGGATGAAAATGAAAATGAATTTGGATATTCAATTTGAGAAGTAACACAATGAATAGATGATGAATATGGATCAACTGTGATGAATATGGAATGGAGATGGAAAACTCAAATGAAGAATATGTTCTGAATTCTATTCAATTTGTGATGAAACCTGATTTGGAGAGATTGAATGAGGCCGGAAGAATGAAGAGCCCATAATTGAGGATCTTCAGATACGGAACCACAGCCGCCGTGTGTAAGACCAAATGGGAGTGGAGCGACGGAATCACGACCGGCGGCCACGAATTCTTAGACGTTCTCAGATCTGATTCTGCGTGGTACATAATCGACCTCGAATTCTCCTCCCAATTCGGGATAGCGCGGCCGGCAAATCAATTACAGCTTCTGGTCCGGTCATTGCCGGGAATTTTCGTAGGGAGAAGCAAGGAGCTGAAGAAGATGCTGAGATTGATGAGCAAGGCGGCTTAGTTTTGCTTCGGATTCAAAATCAACGGAGAGATTGCGAAGAGACCTCCTGCGGCGAGATGCAGATCCGAATTTCACCATCTCGAGCTCGAAGAGAGATGCAACGGTCGGGGCTAAGACAGTGAAAACGGCTTCNTACAAGAGGTCGGAGGCGACAATCGAGAATATCTCTCGCCTCTACACGGCGGAGACGGCGCCCGATTGGTTGAGGACGACGATGAGCAGAACGGCGGCGATAAATCTAGAGGTAGAAGACGCCATTGGAGGAGGAGTCAGTGCCTTGATGTAATTGACGATTCAGCTTCTTCTTCGACGGAAATCTAAGAGTTGAAATTGAAGATAAGGATTGAAGAATTGGGAAGCGTACGATGGAAGATAAGGAGTCAGATTGCTGGAGCCACAGCAACCTGCTCTGATACCATGTTGGAAATGAAAGCATCAAATTGTATTAACTAGCTCAAATTGTGTATTACATGGTTAAGTTCTATATATAGAAAATGAAAAACAAGTAACAACCAAAAATATCTTCTTAACAAACTAACAAACTGTGTAATTAATCAACTAATCAAATGCTAAATGGTTGATTACACCAACAACAACAACAACAGCAGAAGATGTAGCGGAAGAAGTAGCCGCAGACGTCGCATCTGTGTCCGATCCACGCAGAAGATGTAAGCCCAGGTTATTATGTCAATTAAATCTTATTTGCTCTTTTCGATTGTGATTTGCATTGAAGTCTTTACCTCTTTTTTTTCACAGTTGTTTCATTGTGTGATTCGTTTAGTTTATGCTTAATTACAGTTATTCGTTTTACTATATTTGTATGATATGTTGGATATCATTTTAACATGAATGATTGTATGTTGTAGATCCAATCCATAAGCCTAAAGTTTGATGAAGATGTAAAACTGATTTCACTTTTTTTATAGGTTTGTTCAGTCTTTTCAATTTGTTTCATATAGAAGAAATATCTATAGTGTTTCTTAATTATTTTTGCATTGGCTATGATTTGGTTATGCACACTTCTTAAGTCTGGGTACCAAATTGATTTTTACTTTAGAAGGCCAAAGCTAAGGGAGTCTCATTGTTCCTTCCGGTCATTGTGGTTGCTGACAATTTTTCTACCAATCCCGACAGTAATGGTTCATCAAACTTTCTCCCTTTGTATATTTCTTTTATGGTCGCTTTGTTCAATTGAATTCACTATTCATTAAATTTGAAGCTATTTTAGTTTATTTTGTTTTGGATATCAAACAAGATGAAATACAAATGTTGTTTAATATGTGTTTTTTAGGATGTCAATCCAGATGAAATTTAGTTGTTTCCAGCTTTAGCACTGCAGAGATATCTCACACTTCAAATTTTTACATTGAGGAAGAAAAACGTAGACAATTGCATACTTCCAACTAACAAAAAAGAATGACGTCAATGAATTTTACGCATCACGACATGCACATTTTTAACACATATCATAGGAGGCTGTAAAAGATTAAAAATTTCTGTGGGTGTGGTATTGTTTTCTTTCACTATTTTAATGGACTAATAACCTTTCATTTTGCAAGTACTGATATAAGCATCTAGATTTGGCAGGAATCATTAATATAAATTAAGTGATGGGGCATCTTACAAGCAACAAAAATAACACAATTTTTTCACATTTCCTTCAGTGTTTTGGTCTTTCTCCCTTTTTAAGGTGACTTTCTCTTTGATTTATCTTCTTTCTGTTTTTAATAATTTGGTCATATATTCACCACAGGTTGCCAGCACTTTGAGTAAATCTAGCCCAACACCATTGGATGAAGCTGGCAATGAAGATGAATCCTTAGAATTCAATGAAAAAGATGTTGGAGAACATCGATTAACTCAGGTTTGTTTCATTTATTTTTGCTTACAACTTGACTGAAAGCCGTTGCAAAATTCACAAACAGCTTTTGAGCAAACAAGGAAAAAAAACAATTGTAGAACTAAGTTTTGCATTTGTTAGAATTTTGAATCTTTTCTTTCTCATTTCTCCAATGACATGTACATTTTTATTTTCTTTTGTTACTTAATATTTTGCCAATGTTTGTAATTCCATGTTGTATTTAGTTGCCTCCAAGTATTGAATCCTTAGAAAACTAATTAAGCTTCTTAACTAACCAATATATTTACACATATTTTAAAGCTCTGTCTTATGTATTTCTTTGTTATGATTTTTTTGAGTCAAATATGGCAAATTTAAAGCTCAATTAATAAAACTGTAATGTACATTAGTATAAAATTAATTTAATTAGATTTATCTCTTAAGAAACTTTCAAAATTTTATTTCATTATATTAAATATAGTACTCTCTCCGTCCCATAAAGTGTTATCCATTTTGACTAAAGTTGAAATTAAAGGAGGAATAATTTTGTGTTGACTTTCCAAAAATACCCTTGATGTGATGGGTAAAAGTAGGATGCGATGTGTAGATTATTATGAAAAAGGTATGATGTGATAGGTAGGGTTTGAAAAAGTAAGGGGTAAAAGTGGTTTTTTAATAGAAATGGGTAGGAGATTGTGGGACTCAATTTTTTTGAAAGGTGTAAATCTTTTTGGGACGGAGGGAGTATAACTTTAGAATAATTTGTTATTAAAACATGTCTAGTTTCACTAAAAAAAATTGAAATTAGACGAACACACTGGGATAAAGAGAATAAATATTTTTTTTAATTCTTTCGGATGACGATGTACATTCGTCCAAACCCAGGATTGAATAAGGCCCATTTACTATTTGAGGGTCCAAACCCAGGATGAAATAAGTATTGGCCGTCTACTATTTGAGGATGCAAATTCATTGTATTTTTTCCTTACCATGCGATCAAAGTTCAAAAATTGACCATGAAATTCAAACTGGGAAGTTGATATTAGGATCAAGGTGGTATATTAGTAAAAATTTCAAAAAAACTATTAGCATAAAATTAATTAGAGAAATATTAAAAAAAATTGAACCGACCCATCGATTTGAATAAACTTGCGGATTGGATTGCCGGACCAAAATTCGAATTAGAAAAATTGGATGACTATAATGCTCATTAATTTGAAATACAGGGTAATATTGTAGAATTCAAGGATTTGTTAATCAATGTGCACTCTCTTTCTCCTTAAATAAATTTCTATTTTACTATTTATAAGGTCAAACATTCTTCTCTAATTTTTTTACTTTCTCGAGGCTCTGTTGGTAGAGACCCAAAGTGTTGTTATGACAACCTTGCTTGCCACATGCATTGCAGGGGATGGATTCTGGCTCCATGCAAGAGTTTGGAATTGAATACCTTGTATGATGAAACAAGTTGTGGCTACGTTAAGACACTGACTAGTTGAGTATATCCTGCAATTTACCTTGTCCACTTACCCTAGGGCAGGGGTGTGGGGGATCCCTAGGGTGGGGTATACCTTTTTTTAACTTCCTCCAGGCTTTGTCATGCATAGTACTTTCCTGTTATTATTTTTTTGAACAAAGTGCAGCTTTTTCAGAAAAACAAGGGTTTTACAAAAACATAATAATCAAAAAAGTGAAAAAACTACAAACTCCAAACCGGATTTCTACACCTTACTTTCTATTGTACTTGGGCTAAACAAAAGTATAGATTTGATATTTAATGTAATCAACACGCTCTTTCGGAATCTCTTTTTTCGCCATGGGCCTTGTTCTTTCTAGCTCTCTTGATTGTATAGCAGCAAGCAATATTGAGGGCAGCCTTCAACTTCTCTTTTGTGTTCTTATTGGTCTTCACTTTCGTCTCCATCCCTCACAGATTGTGCATTAATATCCATACCAGTCCATGTAGAAACTTCCCCTAGAGTCCTTGAAGCAAAGATGCAGGTACTTAAGAGAAGGTACAAGTTTTCTTCACTCATACTACATGCATATTCTCTAATTCATCTCTCACCTTCAGAAGTTTTTTCTAGTCACCTCAGTTTTTATATTGCCAAATACTTTTATATTGCCTAATAGTATCTTGCTTAAGATACATACTGTGAACCCATTTTACTCAAGGAATATCTTTTTTATTGGCAATGTCCCAAAGTAGCTTCATGGCATTATCTTTGTTTTAGTAAACCAAATTCTTCCACCCGAATCCACCTTTACTTCCTGAAACATCGTCCCAGGCTATAAGATGACATCTTTTGTAGTTTGATGAGGTAGTCCAAAGGAAATTCCTGTAAATATCATGAACCCTTTTTATGACTTTGTTGGGTATAATAAACAATTTAGACCAAAAGAATACAATCTCATTTATATATAAGAAGGGAAAGTAAGGTTTATATTAGAAACATGTTTAAGGAGGGGAAAAACGACGTTGATATGACAATTTGTGAAAGAGCACAACAAATTGTGTATGTCAATATTGAGTTAATGAAATGACCAGATGAGCAAAAGTTTTAAAGACAGTATTATGTTTGAACTATATTATAATGCTTATAACTTTTTAGAGAAAATTTTAAATATTTTTTTAATTTGCTTGAAATGCTACAATAATCACTATAAATAATGTAATGAAATTCTATTTGAAACGAAAAATATATTTATTTTAGTCATTGGAGAATTTAACCTATAAAAATTTCTTTTGTATCACGACAGTGATATCATGTTAGCTCTAACATAAATATTAGTTCAAAACCTCTTAGAATTTTGCTAGGCATTTTCATTGCAAGACTCATAAAGGCTGCGTACAATATAAAAGACACTTTGATAGAGTATCCCTTTCTGTCCAGGAGTTAAACAACTCTGTAACAAAATTAGAAGAAAAAGAAAGAATCAATTGGTTCCCTAAAAAAGGCATTGGAATGGGTAAAATGCTCAAGAATGTAAATCCAAAAGACAGGTACATAACCATTTGATGTTTTGATCCATCAAAGAATAGGGAGTCTTATTACTATTTAATATCATATATACATTATTATCATTGATTAAATACCTTTCAATAAAGTGTTGCATATATACTTGGTAGAAAACTATTATAAATAGTAGAGTTAATGCTAATTAAGTTGTTGCAGAATAATAATTACCTAATAATATAAGAGGTTACACGCATTATAAGAGAGTTATTCTCCACATAAGGAAAATAATACTGCATTCTTAGTAGTATACTCTCACTCTCTTAGAGTGTTTGCCCAATTTAGACTTTTTTGGAGTCACTTAAAATTAAAATTTTGGTATATTAAATAGATAAAACAATATTTTAAAAATATAATACAAGATAAATCTAATAATTTTTTTGTTTATATCTAATATCAATTTTATTTAGTTTATTATCAAAGTTTATCATTTTTTGCTATAAAAAGTCAAAAGTAATTAAATACTCTTCTACGGAGAGAGTAAAGTAATATGAAGTAATTAAGAGTTATACTTTACCCTCTAGAGGGTCTTACGAATTATACTTCTTGTTTAATAGTAAATTGATCCCCTAACTTGATGATTGAAAATCATGTTCATTTTCCTTTTTATGATATTAGGTTTAAGAGGGCTTCAGAAAATTTATCATGACATTTATCATTTTTTTTTAAGTATCCTCAACCGTGTCTTTTCTGCTATCATTGATCTTAGATATATGGATATGTGTTAACCTAATTTTATTTATTCAAACATAGAAGTGTTAAGTGTCTTTATCTCCAATAGTTAAACACTCCTTGTTGTTGTTTGAATTGGCTTGTTAATGCATACAAATCTGATTAAGTTCATATATGTATACAAATCTAACTAGTGGTCTCTTAACCTAAATTGTTTTATTTTTGATATTCTATTTTTTAAAAACAACCTAAATTGTTTTACTTTTGATTTTCTATTTTTTAAAAACAACCCAAGACAACCATAAAATTTTCACATATCAGGCACTCAAAGTAGTGGATAAAAATGAGCTAATAAAGCTAATTCTAAAATATCCTATCATTGTCACCATGAAAGTATACAAATTTTTCTATTATATTAGAGTATCTTCTAAATTTGTTTTATATACTTCATATATTTTTAAAATACATGTACTAATTATAGTAATACAGTCTAAAAGATAGTATATAGTACTAGCAATTATTATTACTTTTTTTGACAGTACCAATTATTATTAATTATTATTATTAATAGATAGTATTGTCTCTAGATGGTTTCTATCCATGCATGTATAACGTTATGAATCGTTGTAAGTAGGGCTACAATTTAGTATAGTGTAACTAACTCTGCGTTTGAGTCTTATAAATCTTAGCTACTACGTGTATTGTCTGAACGAACCAGCAATTATCATTGTTATTAATTTTTTATATGTAGAGTGATCACATATACAGAAGAGCAACAAACAATGTACTTCTACATATGGTTATTATTGTCAACTATAGAAACGATGAAAATGACATGCAATTCTAGATCATCTACAACTCCCACGAAAAGGATTGATGCATTGATGGGTATGGAGGACTCGTTTGAAGTTGTAGCAACGGTGGCAAATTCTTATTTACCGGTATCATTTGGGCCGAAGTTGAGATTTCGGATGAAAAAGGCTAGTTTTTGATGAGATAGTATATATTTATTTTTGTCAAACGTATTTAAGTATGAGACTTTTTTGATCATTTCTATTACACTTGAACATATATAATTACCTATATTTTTGGTAACTTTATAAGGAAAGGAAAGAGTTACTCCGTCTTACTATTTTTATCCATCTAGTATGTGTTTCTAACTATTCTTGTTGCATACTATATATATTTCGTCATATTGACACTACATTATCTTACTTTCCAACACTAAACACAAAAATAGTAAGACACACATAATAGTTGGACAAAGTACCTCTTTCGTTCTCTATAAAGTTATCAGAGAGATGTATTTTTATATGTTTAAGTGCAATAGGGATGGTAGAGTATTTGGCAAGAATTCAGCATATAATAAGTCATGAAAAACTAGGATTTTAATATAATCTAAAATCTGGACATTAGTCCAAACACTGCTAGAAAATATGGATTTGCCACCGTTACTGCAACTTCAAACGACTCTTCCATACCCATTAATGCCTCTATTCTTTCCGGGAGTGATAGATGATCCAGAAGTGCATTCCATTATCGTCGGTTCCATAGCCAACGATAATGACCTTATGTAGAAGCACATTGTTGATCCTCTATATATGAGATTATCCTACATATAAAAAATTAATAACAGTGATAATTGCTTGTTCTTTCATACGGTACATGCACAAGCTATGATTTATAAAGGACGGACTCAATTGCCACATTAGTTAGCCTATACTAAACCGTAACCTACCTAAAAGAATGAATTACACTATACATGCATAGATAGAAACCATCTAGAGACAATACTATCTAATAATATTAATAATTGGTGATGAGAAAAAACTAATAGTAATTGCTAGTATCTATATATTAAGGCTTACACTGCATTGCTATAATTAATGACTGCATTTTAAAATTTTTTGGAGTATAAAAACAGATTTAGAAGTTACCATCATATCATAAAAAGTTTTGTATACTTTCACATGTGATGACTATCTTGGGTTGTTTTAAAAAAAATAGAAAATAAAAATAAAAATAATGACAACAAGCTAAGCTCATATATAAGACCTTAATCATATATGTACAAAAACAAGCTAATTCAAACAATGACAACAAGCTATATAGGTGTGGTTAGTGTGAAAGGAGTTTAAGAGACTAAGCTCTTCTATGCTTGAATATATAAAAATAGGAGAATACGTAACCATATATCCAATGATTTCAGAGAAGACATTGTCGAGGATACTAAAAAATTGGTGTAAGTTATGTTGTATTTTTATAAAGACCTTTTGGAATCCAATATCATAAAAAAGAAGGTGAACATGATTTTCTCTCATCAAGTTAGGGATTCAATTTACTACTAAATAAAATATACGAAGTAAGACCGTTTAGTCGGTAAATGATAACTCTTAATTACTTCATACTCCCTCCGTCCGGAAATAATGTTCTCATTCTACTTTTTTATCACAATTTTTCCTAAACTACCCCTCTCATTAAATCTCTATCGTTTTTTCTCTTTCACACTCCTTTTTTCTCCGCCACCCACCTCGATCTGCTTCATCTCTCTCTCTCTCTCTTGATCTTCTCCTCTTCTTTTCTTTTTCTCCTCATCCTTCTTTCTCCACGTCCTCCTACACCATCTTTTCTTTCTTCCTCCTCCTTCTAGATTTATGGTTCTAGCGGCGATGATGGACCCGATGGCGGCGATGGGAGCTAAGGCAGCGGTGGATCTACGATAGATCTATTCTATGTTTAATCTTCTTTTTCTCATCCTGGATAAGGTAAATTAGGCTTTATCTCAAATTGATGGCAAAAAGCAAAGCCTGTACTTGGGTATTTGCGAAGGCGCTATGCTTAGCGTCTCCTAGCGCAGTTGTCAGGATCAAACTCGGGTGTTACCCCCTATGGTGTTTCAAAAATTTTGATACATTACACCCCTCTATCTTAAAATTAACTTCACATTTAACTTTTCACAGTCTCCAATGCAACACTTTGACCATTAATATCTCTATTTATAAATAAAAATAAATATAGACGAGACCAAAAAAGAACCAGTCCAAACCAATTTACGGCAAACCAAATAATGCACATTAATTTGAAAGACGAAGTAATATTGTAGAATTCATGGATTTGTTAATCAATTTCTACTTTCTTTCTCCTTAAATAGAATTCTACTTTACTAGTTATAAGGTCAAACATTCTCCTCTAATTTCATTACTTTCTCCGTTTCTTGAGGCTCCGTTGGTATAGACCCAAAGTGTTGTTATGACAACCTTGCTTGCCACCTGCAATGTGGGGGGATCGATTCTTGCTCCATGCAAGAGTTTAGAATTGAATACCTTGTATGATGAAACAAGTTGTGGCAACATTAGGACACTGACAAGTTGAGTATATCCTGCGATTTACCTCGTCCACAAACCCTAGGGCAGGGGTGTGGCCGTGTGGGGGACCCCTAGGCTGTGGTTCACCTTTTTTTTAAACTTCCCCGAGGCTCTGACATACAGAGTACTTTCCTGTTATTATTTCTTTGAACAAAGTACAGCTTTATTAGAAAAACAAGGGCTTTTTTACAAGAACATAATCATAAAAAAACTACAAACAACAAACCAGATTGCTACACCTCTTTTGATTGTACTTGGGCTAAACAAAAGTATAGATTTGATATATAATATTATAATGTAATCAACACACTCTTTAGAAATCTCTTTTTTGCTATGGACCTTGCTGTTTCTAGCTCTCTAGATTGTATAGCAGCAAGTAGTAAAAAGGGCAGCCTTCAGCTTCTTCTTTTTTCTGTTATTACTGATCTTCACTTTTGCTACCATATCTCACAAATTGTGCCTTAATATCCATTCCAGCCCATGTAGAAACTTCCCCCAGATTCCTTGAAGCAAAGATGCAGGTACATAAGAGATGGTCCAGGTTTTCTTCACTCATACCGCATAACATTTGGTCTATCTCTAATCAACCATGTATAACCATCCTTGGTTTTATATTCCCCAACTACATGCATATTCTTGAATTCATATCTAACCTTCAGAAGTTTCTTCCAGTAGTAACAAGTATCACCTTTGCTTTTATATTGCCAAATAGTATCATGCTTAAGATACCTACTCTGAACCCACTTAACCCAAAGAATATCTTTTTTACCGGCAATGTCCCAAAGTAGTTTCACGACATTGGCTTTGTTCCAGTAAACCAAATTCTTCAACCCTAATCCACCTTTACTTTTGAGGAGGCAAACATCATCCAAGGCTATAAGATGACATCTTTTGTAGTTTGATGAGGTACGCCACAGGAAATTCCTGCAAACATCCTGAACCCTTTTCATGACTTTGTTGGGTATAATTAGCAATTTAGACCAAAAGAATACAATCCCATAAAGGGCAGAGTTAATTAGCCTAGTCCTCCCTGCATATGACAAATGTTTGGTTGCCCATGAAGTGATTTTTGTAGTGAGTTTCTTTACTAGGTTATGACATTCTTTTAGGCTAATCCTAGCTGCAGTAATTGGACCACCAAGGTATTTGAAAGGGAATTCCCCTTTAGTCATGTTAGTGTGCACCAGTATTCAGTTTTCCTTTTTAATGTTGACCCCTCCAACCACTATATGGGTTTTAGCATAATTCATATGTAGGCAAGGAGTTTTTTTGAAGTGCTCCAGAGCCTAGAGAATACAATTAATAGACACTTCATTAGCTTTGCACATGCAGACATGCAGTGATACTTGAACCTACTTTCCTCTACATAGTGGTGCAATCAGCATAATCACTGAATTCGCTCCCTAAGCCGTGACTTCCGTATTGGTACGCGGCGTATCCAATCGCAATTCGATTGTGATCCAATCGTAGGCGGTACAACGTACCCTTTGACGTGGTACAGCGTACCAGATCGAGCTGGTTCGTGTACCAAAAGCCAACTGAAATTGTCCCCAGCCCCTTGGTACGGCGCTCCAAGTCGAAAATAATGGCGTACCAATCGTTGGCGGTACGGTGAATCGGTCCAGTTCAACTTTCCCTCTTCCAATTGACGACTTTCCCACTTCCCAAACACGTATTGAGTATTCCACATTCCAATGTCTTATTAAAAAATCTCCTTTAATATTTATTTCAAATATCAATTTACAATTGAATATTATACTAATATGTATGTATGTATGTATGTATGTATGTATGTATGTATGTATGTATGTATGTATGTATGTATGTATGTATGTATGTATGTATGTATGTATGTATGTATGTATGTATGTATGTATGTATGTATGTATGTATGTATGTATGTATGTATGTATGTATGTATGAATGTATGTATGTATGTATGTATGTATGTATGTATGTATGTATGTATGTATGTATGTACACAAACATTTTGTACTCATTTGGCTTTAGGTTGCCCACCTCTCACCTCTCGTCTTTCATAAATTTGTAACTAAGTAAACTAACTCCCCCCCCCCCATAGCAACATTAGCATAAGAATCCCATGCAAATTAACATAATTAAAACCGGGTAGTTTTTTAAAGTGAATTACGTATATTAGCCTCTCACAATCCAATGAGAATATTTGTGACACCCAAAATAAGGTAAATTTGAACCATAAATTTGGACGGAGGGATTAGTAGCTATTACCATGTTAGTCAACATTGAAGATTGATTCTCTTGCTATTAAATAAAATCCTATGTTATGCTGTCAATTATTAGATTGTTCATATTCTGGCAAGTGCGCAGTGTATTTTTTTACAAAATGCTATCTTCGGTTGAGCTGCTGCGTTTTCTGGTAAAAAATGCACATT